GGTGTAATATTAAGTGTATATACTGACTAGCTGAGGTAGTAGGTCGAAATGTAAACTAGAGTTGGTGTTTGACCCAGTATATACGGCTAGTTGATATTCAGTAAAACAAGCATGGTCGACATAAATTATTTAACACTAACGGTATAATTGCGAATTGATTTTTCATGGCAATCACTTTTCAGAAAATATTCTGTGCTATGAATATCAACAAGTGGGTTCGCTCATGGTCTATGTTTTTTCTTCAATAACTTTAAAAAAAATTTTAATTTGGTAGATTGATAGCCTCAAGTGAAATCTTTAGAACTAATACCATTATTCGGAGGGCCATCCTGACCTTGTTAATTATTCGCCGATCAACAATGATACACTTAATATGAGTGTATGTGTACATCACTTACTCCATTCATCACATATGTTTTGGTTTGTTTTCATCTGGGCATGAATATTAAGTCACGCTTGATCAAATGGATTTGGAATGCTTGTCTTTTTCTGTATTTTTCTCCAATTCACTTGTCTGATTGTCCTTCTAAGTCAACGAGTTTATAAACTACACGTATTCAAACTTTATTCTCATATTCAATCTAGATTTTGTTCTCAATAAGTCAGTAACTTTTGACAGATCTCCCCAGATGAATAATCTCCACGTTTATGCTTGTTACTGTTGTAATTGAACCAGCAATATATATTCCTAAATTATCATTCTAATCTTTATGATGTATAACCACATTGCGGTGTCATCGCATTAGTCGTATTAGCGAGTCGCAGATAATAATTTTATGACATTGTATATCTGTGTTTATTCGGTAAATTGTCAGTTAAGTGATTTTGAATACCATTTCATTAGGTCCATACAAGTGTTACTGTTAATCTGACCGTAAATATATAGTTTGAAAAGTATTTTATTCAGATAACATATTGATTCGTTTTGGGCTTTAGAAATATACTCTTCTATTATCTTTGTATTCTTGCCTGCGTCATCCGATTCATGGTTTCATGTGGCAGGTACCCAGTCAGTTAAATGTTCCTCAGATACTGCAATCTATTTTCTCTATCAACCTTACACAACATAATTTCGCAAATGTGATGGTACGTGGTAATACTTCAGCTAAACTTCACCGTTCGCGTAGCTCAAACAGTAAGTCGAGAGAGTCCAATGTTCTGCTGTTACGTAATGAAATAATCAGTATTCTCTCAAAAAACAATACTATCTATCTTTGCAGGTCCGTGATCTTGTTGGCATAATAGGTAGTAGTTTTCATTTATTTTGCTTATTGATCACTTCTTCTATCCTGACTATAGAGGACTAATAACATTCTGTTGGCGAATGACACAATAAACGTCCTTCTATCAATAAAGTAGTAACGGTGAGATGCGACTGAGGTTAATGCTTAACTGCTGTTGGCTACTATGCTACTTCACGTGCTCACTTTTTCGAAATTCAGAATGGAATTAGAATGAGGTTGTGGTATAACGTTCTAAAAGACCTAGTATCGACTCAAGCAGTATGAAGATATCATTTATTTCATGATAGTAAAGCCAAATACGGCCATGTAGCTACTTCGCATACATGAACAAACTTTCGTATTTATTGGGTGCCTAGTCTGGCCCGACACCAATTATTGATTTTGCTCCCATCTTCCCTCAGGTTAGTCAGTAGAGTAATAAAGGGTTTTTCATACTAAAAAAACTCTAGGAAATATGGACAATTCTGAATATAAATAGTCCGCAACATAAGCCAGTTACCAAATTTAGTCGTTCATTTATGAAGATTAGTATTTGTTTGTAGCTTTGGATTGGCAAGATCAATTTTAATTTAGACATCTAGTTCTCAGATGATAGAACGAATTACAGATCAAAAATATGAAATACGGCAAAGAGATCTCGTTCTGATGAATTGTACATCAGTCTGTTCAATCACGAATATATTTATCTGTACATATGAGGCTCTGATTATTCTGCGACAGCAGTTATACACCATTTTTACAGGTATGATCTATAGTTTGTGACATTTGTTTGTAAACATTAAGATTGTTTCAGGTGTAAGAAGCCCTATTGCTCTTCAAATTAAGCATTTTGGCGAAAAAGAGACAAAGTAGAAGCAAAGCACATGAGCATAAACTTTGAACTACGATTAATAGTTTGTGGTGAAACAGAATAAGGGATGACGAATCGGTAGGTATAACTCGTACTACCTTATGTCGCTAAAGTGAAGTGTGGTTACAGCCCTCCAACAAAAGATTATCGTAACACAGAACAATGAGTTGTGTTATGTAACAAGGTGGAATGGGTTCAAATGATGGAAGGGAAGTCAAAGTTGAAATAGGGAAGGCTGCTTAGTGGAATAGAAAGTACATCAAAGGAGAGTAATGTTAAGAAACGCTAATATCGATTACTTTGATTTTTATTTCATCTTTGTATTGGTTGTTTCAGTCTTCCTAATAATGTTCAGGACTGCAGTTGATAAATCTTTTTGGCGCATGTACATCCTGTGCGGGTTGCCTTGAAATTGCCTCAAGTCACAAAGATTATAAACAGAGAAGGGTGATGGTTAGGAGTAAAATTCAGGACGCGTGTTTCATTCTATTTGGGACTCGTCAGCAGAATGTTCCTGCATCCCAAAGTGAACATCACACTCGGGATGCACATATGCCGACGAGAGACTGATCAACTACAGTTCTAGCCATCAATAGGAAAACTTAAAAACAACCACTACAAAAATGAACTAAAACCTCACCCCATCGCACAAGATAGTGACTATTTGGATTCAGAGGCCAAGTAAACGATTTAATGACGTTTGATGAGATTGATACTGGTTTCGAGCCCTAGAGTGAATAGCCACTCTGCGACGCAGCTACATCCTGTTGAAGAGTCCCAAAAAAACGAAATACGCGTCCTGAATTTCACGTTTAACCACCACTCACCTCTGTTTATGTAAGTTATTGTCCTTCTTAGTTTTTTTTACGTGGTGCCAGCCACAAGATCATAACTTGAAAGTTTGTGTAAGCATGTGATATGTTATCTTGGTAGAATAGCGAACTCAACATGATTCTGATTAACGAGCAAAGGATAATAACCTCACTGATTGGCTTCCTTGTCCTTAATCATTAATAGCCTGAAACGAACAAATTATTCTGCCCCACAAACATGAGTAGATTGAAGTTATCGCCCTTACCATCAGTGATTGCTGGTCCGTAACTCCACCTCCTCCTTCTGTGATGTTGGGCTCATTAAGGTTCATTTCAAGAAAAAAATGTCTCATACGATGCTATGTGTTTCACATTCTATTGGAAACCAGTATTTCTACGTGTCAAGCTTTAATTCTACGAGAGCATATGAACAATAAAAAGACACGCTGAATTAATGGAAAGATCACAATACTACATTACAGGGGGTAAACAGTAACAATAAAAGATTATGTATGTATGAACAAAGGTAGTGTAAAATTTAATATGTTAACTGTGGATAGAAATATGGGCAGAGTAAAATAATTAACACGTTCTGTTGTAAGTACTAATAATATCAGAATGGTTCAATAAAATGTACTGATATCCGGAACTATCATGAATAAAATCAATGGTACGTAGGAGACGATTAAGAAGGAGGAATATTTTCATATTCTATGACAATGAAATAAGCATCAATAACATTGATGTCTAAGACCACGAAAAAGACGACGATAAGACAGATTACTTTTAAGCATGAAGTTCAGGCTCCATTTCGTGAATGAATAGAAACTCTGCCGTTTTAAAAAGTTGAATGCAAATGATGCCTGATACATTTGGCCAAATCTTACGATGAACCTTAATATCACTATGTGGATCATGGAGTCATTAGAACTGAATAAATGTTCAAACAAGAAGTTTTTTGTCGTCTTTTAGTCTCTATTGTAGGATGACGGGAATATTTCTTGTTATGGAAGTTGTTAACAAACGCCAGCCCGGGGTTTGGTATGGCCACGCAACTAACGGTATTGACAAGACTCCATCTTCTTTTAAACATCCATGATCATACCTTTGGACCCCTTATATTTAGTGGCGGGTACTGATGTATACATAGTATTATTTACTTTTTATTTAACTAAGCTCTATATACATCAGTTCCCTGGTAACATTTAAACTATTCTCAAATTGAACAGTGAAATTTTGTTGACAGTTTCGTGCTGTTGTCGAAGGATATATTTTTATCTCACGTAGGAATTTATTTTGTTTCCATGGCTTGTTCAGATTTTACATACAGTTCAATTGCACATGAAGACTTAGCGAAATGTTAATGAATACTAGTTAAACTATTCGTCAAGCTAAATAGTTTTGATGTTAAATAGCTGATCATCGAAAGTTTAACAGTTTACCGAGCATCACCAATATCAAGGATAACTAATGCAGATTAGTGAGTTGAATACCATGGACCAGGACAAAGTGAGAAAGGTTCCGCAGTGTACTTTTCTAACCTGTTCTTATCAATGGATGTTGTTTCAGAAGGATTCTATTTGTTCTGTACGGCCCACAAGGAAGATATTTTATCTCACCATTACGATAGCATAAGGCAAGTTAGGTGTCAAGTGTGTTACTTATTTCCAGTGATCGTCTTTTGTCAGCTTATTCGAATTAAAATATTTTATTTCCTTACCCTTTAAACTACGGTCAACTAATTTTCTCCGTGGTGATGTAATAATTGCTGGCTCCAGAAACCTTACTATCCTGACGCAAACCTACCCACACAAACCCAAAAACTACCGAAGTGACCAAAACAATTGGAGTTAGTTGAATACACTCGACTCGTCGGGCGTCATCAATGACCTGAAACAATACTAAAACTAACAGAGGTGATCATACAAAAATTACTCGACACACAGACTTTGTACATAAATTTTCAATATACAGATAATACCATATATATTCGAGGAACCTATTACTGCTCCTTGTACTTAATCATAAAACCTGTCTTTATTATATAAGGAATAATACTCATTACGGTCGTTTTAAAGTACCAAGGACAATAACCTACGACCTTGCAACTAATTTAACTACATTAGAGCGTCTGCGGGATGCATGGTTAGTGTGGTTATTTTTATTTATTTTATCGTCAGAGCGTAAAAACGTGTTTCCTCCCAGGTTAAAAGGGTTACGTTTAACGTGAATTAGTGTTTATGTAGCTTTTTATGTGAAAAAATGCTCTAATCGTATTTCTACTAGTTGCACTGTGAAAAAACCAGGTTTAGGGGGTTCACTGTATAATTTTTGAGAAACATGCGATAAAATCCCCAAAAACGTTATAGTACGTTGGAAATTCAGATACCGGCTTCTCTGGGTATGTGGAAAACTTTACATTACCCCGATATTTCGTACGAGTTATAGGTCCTTAAAAATGTTCTCAAATTTACTCCACAAAGTTCACTTTTCTAGAAAACTACTTTCTGTCGCATTGCTTTCGGTCTTAGGTTCACTGTTTCAGTTGAGTGTTTCATACACCAAACTCATCTGGAAGCAATACAGAAACGAACGTAATTGATACATATACTCTGTTGGCAACAAACTTGTATGAAATAATCACTTTCTTTAATTAACAGCACTGAGGTTAGATCTGTGCTTATATCCTATATGAAGGTACTGAACGTTTCAGCTTTATGTCCACACGGCTTCATTCCTTGTAGCTTATCATGTTTTTGTTAGAGCACATGAATCAGCAGTTAGTCGACGGGAAATACAAAATATTTCCTTAACCGGAATAACAATAGGGACATTCAAGCTGCATCACCTAGTTTACTAATTCCCTGCCAGTCACAAAAATACTGGCATAAATAAATGTTTCGTTCTTAACTTATACAAGACCTAAGTACCGATATTTACATAATCTCTTTTGATCATAGTGGTGAATTTTTATTTCAAACGCAAAATATGGTACATATGGACACCAGATATGTGTGTGCCAAACAAGATTAACGGAATACAGATTCGTAAAAGTAGCTTTGAGCAACGTAGTGTGAGGGCTATGGATACTACATGGTTTCTAAAATCGAAGGAAACAAGTAAGTTTTAAGCCTGTGACCTAGTGACTGAAAGTCGGACGCCTTAACCACTGATTCACTTCTCCACAATCAGATGTCTATGCATCAATATTTCGTTTCCTGTACTCCTACAGGTACTAGCTCAACTGCAAAGATCCTAGTTTTGCACGAACTAGTAGTTGAATATGAGATCCGTGTTATTCACTCATAAAGTTTTCCAGGAACCTTGTACATTGGGATATGAACTACTGCAACTTCTGTGATATACTGGTTGTTAATCTTTTTGTTATACTGATGCTATGTGACTTGCTGAATTAACAAGCACTTCATAGTACTATTTTTAATTTAAAAAACATTTAGTTGAATTAATGAACTTGGAGAATGCTGGTCTCCAGGACCGTGTTATAGATTTGGAAAAACGAAGTGCTGAACAAGCCAATGAACTAGCTTGTCTAAGAAGCTCTTTGGCTGATTGTCTACGTCGCTTAAATCTTTTGGAAAGTGCTAGAGGTATGAAATTGCATTCTTCTTCTCAAAGACCAGTTTTGCACAATAATGGTAGGTATTCATGCCTTTATTTTTGCATACCAATATTCTTTTTAGTAACATACTAATTGCTACTCACTCTATAGTAGTAAGAACTTATATTATCAGTGTGTTGTTAGTACATTTTTTATGTATCTATATATGACTGCTTTCCAATAAAGCTACAATAATTAATTCAAAGGTAGGGAGTAGCTAATTGATATAACTGGATTCTAAAATATTTGATATCTGATGGAAATTGAAACGCCTCAAATCAAAGTGCTTTTTGATTCTAGTAGCGTCCTACCTGTAGAATTAAGTTTTTCCAGTCTTAAAGGGTAGATATGTTACGGCCTCCATTTTCACGATTTCACTATATATGACTTTCGTCTGCAGAATATTTTGAATTTGTCACTTTTTATGCTCCAGATTACCTAGAAATAATTATTGTTTCTAATATTTCTGCTTATAATACTAAAAATGCGTTTCAGTGTCCTTGGCTAATATTCAGATCCTTGTTAACTTCAGAACTTACTAGTGATATGCATAGGCCTCAATTCATACTTTCAGCAGGATCTGTTTTAACACATAGAGTTCCGTTAGCCTTTTCAGTCATTTGATGCTTCTTACATTTTTGTTACACTGACTATTTTAACTTGAAGTAGTCTAGGGTTAAGGAAATTCATAATGAGAAGATTTAAACAAGGAGGATAAATCAGTTTGTCAGATTTTCGGTCTGCACCAATTGCAGTTCATACTCATCAAAAAAAGCACTTAAGATTTCATGGAAACTGGTATCCTTGGTAACTTAAACACGCATCGCACGTCCCTACAACCAGCGACATCATTGAGTCATCCAGACGATGATCGACCTTCGAGATTGGAATACTTACATTGACCAACCATTAAGTCGTAATAATTTTCGTATTGTCTAGTCCTTATCCTACTGAGAACTATACTCTTTACTAAAGGACTCATGAAATAACGTCTGTGTACAGTCACATAGTGTTCTTAACTGGGATGAAGCAAGCATTTGTATTTTCACCAGCTATATACTTTTGAGAGGTTGAATGTATAAGTAGGACCACATATTCATATCAAGGGTGTTTTCAGGGTTTAGAGTAAATTAAATAAGACCGTCTATTTCTGTTTATTTTTTTCCGAGAGGAATACATTTCTTAATCATGCCCGTGTTTTTATAAACTTTTTCAATGGTATTTACTGTTCTCTTAAATATAATGCATCCTTAACCTAATACCATTACACCTGTTGAATGTAGTGAGACCAGTCTCAAAACACTTTACAGTCTGGTTTATATCGTTTGAATTAACACCTTAAGTCTTAAACTAGCTACGTATTGGTCGATAATTTTCTTTTTCTACATTTACTGAGCAAAATCTTTCACCATTGATTTATATATATTGGATTTTAGCATTTTTTCTATATTTTTATCTTATCTGTTATTAATTTCTCAATTCTAATTTGCCATTCACTTATCGATTATAGATAAATAAATTTAAGAATGGATGTAACGTTTATTTTACAACACACTGTAAGGAACCTGAAAAATACGTCACAGAACTTAATGATTATATCATACAGAAGTAAAAAGTTAAAACATGTAATAGATATAATAATAAAACAAGTTGGAAGGCGAATCCTTTGGTTCGTAACCAACACGTTGGAAAACTACAACAGGATAGTTACTAGCTTCTATGCTGATTCATGTTTGATGACATTCCAAGCCAATAAGTCATGTTAAACTTAGTAACTCATCAAGGAAGTTACAGTGTGCTGGGAAATACAAAACTTCCACAACAATGCCTCACTTCTAAATTCTCTGTCTCATCGAAGCTTCAGGGACGACTGTGGTCGATTTTCGGGGAATATATATGGTTATAAAGAGACATTATCATTATAAAGAGCATTATTTTCTCACAAAGAGTAGGTTTGATAAAACTAATCACATTGCAGAATTGTGCGTTCAAAATCTGCTACAACACTGATTGTGATTCAGGTTGGCATAAAAAATTATGACTTTTATCATACATGGGTTCATCTCGTCTGCTACAACACTTGAATTTACATTACCTGAGCGTTTAATTGTAGCAGAATATTTTTTTGGAACTTCTAATCTGTTGAGGAAAAGCTTCAACCCACAAGGCAATGGAACAATATCAAGGGATTCATTTGGCTAGTACCAGGTTGTCAACATAAGTTCATACACCATTCGCTCGTAAAACATATTGGAGAGTACTTGTACCAGTGGTTTGAAATTGTAGATCTACAGCTATCCTACATGGATTCTATATTCATCACAATTTTCACACTTGTATAAGTTCACATGATTCACACTTAACAACGTTATCAGTATGTCTTCGTTAAGCTCTCTCTTCATACAATGCTGCTACTCTTGTTGTTTAGCATTCGGAACATGGTTGAACAGGAGCGAAATTATATTCCAACTAAACGGAGTTGAATGGGAGTATTAATCACAATAAAAAAGACGTTAGTATATTTATAATTTTAGACCAGGATATACCAATCTTTTCCAATTATCTGTCCTCCATGAAATATGCATTGATCTAATCTGTGATCTGCTATCAGTCTTCTTTGACGTACTTCCTTCTGGCTGCCGCTGTCACGAACACTTGTTTCATAATCAAAACGAAATCTGGTAATGGCATATTTATCTTTTAAGCTGGCCTCACAGTGAATTTCGTCTATAATAACAATCGTAAATTGTAGTATTTTAAGACGACTCACTTTTGTATCCCTTCTTGTATTTGTCTGTTATGGTTGGGTATAGGGCGCATTGTGCTTATAGATACTTTATTTTTAAAACAGATTATTAGAAAAATATTATTGCTGTAGAAGTACTTTTAAAAAAGAACTATATTTTATACCGTAATGACAACTGTAAAATGGAGTAGTGGGTTAATGGTGAAGACATTCAACTTTCAACCACTAGGTGACAGGTTCGAGTTTCGTCTTACTCACTTCAGTTTTACCAACCAGGTGGTATCATTAGTCTTCTTACATATAGTATGGCTTCAAGATAAATCTATAGATCTGTACTTGGTGAGTTGAATTGAGGTCACTTCCTATCTTGATACAAGATCTGTTTCTCTGACAATTTCAACTTTCATTTGATCAGTATCTCGAAAGTTGCTTAGATAGCTTTGAAAAAGTACGTATTGGTTCTTTGTGGTAGTATTAGAAGTATTAGCCTTATGACCACCAGTATACCCGGTCCTTTCAGAAAGCCCTATTATTTATCAACAATATTATTATTAATTCAATATCTGTAAAATCTAAGATAATTCTCATTGCTTTAAGTGGATTATACATGGATAAGAAAAAGATTGATGCATCACGTGTATATGACCTAAATCTTAGTGGGACTAAGTCTTCTCTATTTTAAGTCGGTTTAACAACTAATTTTCAATTAGATTGTAAATTGCATTTAACATGTATTGTAGATATAGCACTCTTAATATAAATAAATATTAATGCTTATGTGTTGAATATGATATACATTACTTTGACTATAGTTGCTTGTTCACCATCTCAATAGTATTGATCTGTTATTATCATTATTGTTGTTGTATTAAACGTTAGTCGATCTGTAGTTTATATAATTAATTGTATTAGGTAAATTTACTATTCCTATTTATATTCCTCACTAAACAATCTGTCATAATATGAGTTGATGTGTTAAAATATTACTTATGATAATATTTCACCAATGATATTTTCTCTCAACAATATTCAAATGCCCTGATACGGCCGAGGGTGGGGAGAGTCAGCTCTCCCTTTCTAAATGCTCTCACACGGCCATGTGTATACAGCCACTGCCAGAGAAGTCCTGTCCACTGCCTTCTCGTAAAATTACTCTTGTTTACGAAATCGAGAAGACGGAAAGTGAATGTCTAGCGCTTTAACGGGGTTGGTGGATGTGGAGGATCCACTTAGAGGAATTGGAAAATCTTGATTCCAAACCAATGACGCACATGTGCTCCAGGCTCCTGAAGGAACGAATAACGTATGAACCTATTGTTGAGGGCGGAACAAGCACTGCTAGAGTGGATCCCCATCAACAGTCGTCTATGTGCTGTTCGGCTAAACGGCTCCGTAAGAACTCGGAAGGATAGGGACACACGTCGTTGCCTTTTTGTCGTTTCTGCCTACGCTCCCACTGACTGCAGCTCCGATGAAGTGAAGGATGAATTTTACAGGAAGCTTTCTGAACTTCTTCAGAAAGCTAAACGCTCAGACATAGTACTCGTAGGGGGTGACTTTAATGCCCAGATAGGTAGCTTAAACCAAACAGAAAGGCATTTAGGTGGATATTTTAGCATTCCGGCACAGCGAACAGATAATGGTGATCGTCTGCTGCAACTGTGCTCAGACAATCGCTTATTTTTAGCAAACACAAATTTTTAAGCATAAGGAGAGACATCGTCTAACATGGCGACCCCCTACACCAAACCAACGATGGACTCAAATAGACCATATTGCCATCAGTCATCGTTGGAGAGGGTCGGTAGAAGATTGTCGCTCATTCTGGAGTACCTGCTTGGACTCCGATCATGCCCTAATACGGGCACGCATCTGCTTGCGCCTCACCGGACGCAAAAAAGCCACATTAAAAAGACCAATTAGAACTGAATTGAGCAACGAGAAAACCAAAATTAGGTTCCAAGAACAACTGAGTTCACACTTAAGTAGTTCTGAACACGAGGCTGACCCAGATGTTGCTTGGAAAGACATACAAGCAGCTGTGGAAGCAGCAGTGACATCTATTAGCAACTTAAACCACAGAGTTTCAAAGAACCAGTGGATTTCTTCAAAGTCTATCACACTGATGGATTCTCGCAAATTTGTCCCATCAGGTTCCGAACATGATGAAGAGCGACAACAAATCAGATCTAGGTTAAGAAAAAGTTTAAGAAACGACCGTGAGCAGTGGTGGGCAACGAAAGCAAAAGAGATGGGAAAGGCGGCGACTATAGGGAACACAAGACAACTTT